GTAGTTGACCTCCAAGATGACCCCCAATTATCCTTGCCTCCTGGTATTCAGGACCAACTAAGGTTGGTCTGTGCAACCAATAGAATACAGCAAAAGTGATGGTATGTCATTTCCAAAATTAGGTTATGAAAGACTGATTTCTTAAGTTGTCTTAGTCACTCCCTCTGGGGGAAGTCATGTGAGCAGCCCTATGGAGAGGTCAAGAGGAAGGGAACCACAGCTCCCTACTGAGAGCCCCCTAAGTGAGCTTGAAAGCAACTCACATTGAAGCACGTTCTACAAAATAACTGGCCTGTAACCTTCAAAATTGCCAAGGTCATAAAAACAAGACTCAACTAAGGAATTCATTAGACAGAAGGAAACTAAAGAAACATGACAAATGCAACAGAATGCTGAACTGGGTTTTGCTCTAAAGAACATTATTGGGACATTTGATGAAATAAATGGGATCTGGAGATTAAATAGTAGGAATATATCTATATTAATTTCTTGATTTTGATTGTTACATTGTTATGTAGGAAAATATCCTGGTTTATAGAAAATATACAATGAAATATGAGTTGATGGGTCATCAGGTTGGCAACTTACAAACAGTTCAGGAAAAATGGTGCTTTGAACTGTACTTGCTTATTTTCTATAAGATTATTTCAGGGGCGCCTGGGTGGCTCAGTGGGTTAAAGCCTCTGCCTTCGGCTCAGGTCATGATCCCAGGGTCCTGGAATTGAGCCCCGCATTGAGCTCTCTGTTCAGCAGGGAGCCTGCTTCCCTCCTCTCTCTCTGCCTTCCTCTCTGCCTGCTTGTGCTCTCTGTCAAATAAAATAAATAAAATCTTAAAAAAAAAAAGATTACAATTATTTCAGAAATTTTAAAAGCTACGTAAAGAATAATATTTTTTTTTGTCCATAACTCCACCCCCCCAACCCCCCTCCCCCCAAGAATAATATTCTTTAAAAAAGGGGGGGGGGCGCCTGGGTGGCTCAGTTGGTTAAGTGTCTGCCTTTGGCTCGGTCAAGAATAATATTCTTACACATGTTATCTGGTATAGCTGTGCATTGATTCTGTTTTAAATTTTTTTTTTTTTTTTTGTAATGCACACATGATGGGGGCGAGTGGTTTGGGAGGGGCAAAGGGAGAGGGAGAGAGGGAATCTTAAGCAGGCTCCACGCCCAGCTCAGAGCTCACTGGGAGGCTCCATCTCACACCCCTGAGATCATGACCTGAACTGAAATCAAGAGTCGTACACTCAACCAACTAACCCACCTAGGCAGCACTGCATTGATTTCTATTGTATAAATACCTACAAGTGGAATTGCTGAATCATAGAATGTACTTCTCTTCAACTATGGTAAATTTTTTTCAAAATGGTTGTACCAGTTTGTGTTCATCCCCACAGTGGATGTGTGTTCCTCTTGCTGTGTATTCTTGCTAACATTTGCTGTTGCCAGTTTTTAATTTCAGTCTCTCTGGTGTGTGATAGGTAGTATCTTCTAGGTTTTTTGTTTTATTTTGTTTTTTAAATAATTATTTGTTTAGAGAGAGAAAGAAAGAGCATGCATGTAGGAGTGGAAGGGACAGAGTGAGAGAGAGAGAAAGTCTTAAGCAAACTCCACAGTGAGCTCAGGGATTAACTCCGGGGTTGATCTCATTACTCTGAGATCATGATCTGAGCCAAAATCAAGAGTTGGATGCTTGGTTGATTGAGCCACCCAGATGCCCCTTTCCGGGGGTTTTAATATGCTTTTCTTTGATTAGTAAAGTACAACTTTTTATATGTGTAGTGTTAACTTGTGTTTCCCAGGCCCATTTTTGTCCAGTCTTTCCATTTTCCATTTCATCTTATTTTTTATGATCCATCATGTTCTTACTGATTTGTAAAACCTTCTCCAACCTCTTGGCTTCCTTTCTTACTCTCTTCATAGTGTATTTTGATGAACATAAATTCTTTCTTGCTTTTTTTTTTAAGAGAAGGAGGAAGAGAGAGAGAATCCTAAACAGGCTCCATGCCAAGTGCAGAGCCTGACACAGGGCTTGATCTCAAAACCCTGAGATCATGACCTGAGCTGAAATCAAGAGCCAGATACTTAACCAACCAAACTACCCAGGTGCCTCAACGAAAAGACATTCCTAATTTTAGCATAGTCTAACTTAACTGTCTTTTTTTTTAAGATTTTTTTTTTAATTTGTTTGACAGATCACAAGTAGGCAGAGAGGCAGGCAGAGAGAGACAGGAGGAGGAGGCAGGCTCCCTGCTGAGCAGAGAGCCCGATGCGGGACTCGAACCCAGGACCCTGAGATCATGACCTGAGCCGAAGGCAGAGGCTTTAACCACTGAGCCACCCAGGCGCCCCTAACTGTCTTTTTTTTAAATGATTATTAGTATTTTGGTTTTGTTTTTTAAGAATTCTTAAGTCAAATATGTCTTTTTTTTTTTTTTTTTTTTTTTTAAAGATTTTAATTTTAAGCAATCTGTACACTGAGTGTCAGGCTCAAACCCACAGCCCTGAGAACAAGAGTCACATGCCCTACCACCTGAACCAGCCAGGGGCCCCGTCACTGTTTATTTGTAAGTTTATTTATTTATTTATTTATTTGGTGTTTTTTTTTTTGTTTGTTTGTTTGTTTTAGTTTATTTATTTTTAAGTGATGTCTATACTCAACATGGGGCTGAAACTCATGACCTCAAGATCATGCTCTTCCAGCTGAGTCAGCAAGATACCCCCATGTCACTTGTTTTTAATAACACCATCTAAGACATTTATTACTTGAGCAGTCTGTAATCAATGTTTGCATATGGTAGAGAGTAGAGGTTTTCTTTTTTTATTTTTTTTTAAAAGATTTTATTTATTTATTTGACAGAGAGAGAGATCAGAAGCAGGCAGAGAGGCAGGCAGAGAGAGAGGGGGAAGCAGCCTCCCTGCTGAGCAGAGAGCCCAATGTGGGGCTCCATCCCAGGACCCTGAGATCAGGACCTGAGCTGAAGGCAGAGGCTTAACCCACTGAGCCACCCAGGCGCCCCTATTTTCTTTTTTTAATAAAGAATTTTTTACTTAGTTGAGAGAGAGACAATATGAGCAGGTGGCGGGACAAAGGGAGATAAAGAATCCTCAAGCCGACTCTCCACTGAGTATGTAGGCCAATGCAGGATTTGATCACAGGACCCTGAGTTCATGACCTGAGCAGAAATCAAGAACTGGACACTCAACCGGGCCACCCAGGTGCCCCAAGAGTAGAGTTTAGTTGTAATTTTTTCCATATGCAAATCAGTTGTCCCTGCACCATTAATATGTCCTTTCCCCCACTGCTCTCCAGTGCCATAGTGGTCATAAATCATGTGTTCATATATACATTAGTCCATTTCTGGACATTATGTTCTGTTCATTGGTTTGTGTATCTTTGCTCGAATTTCACATTCTTAGTTGTTATAGCTTTACCATAAGTCAGTGTCTTTTAACCCAACGCTTCCACACTTGTTCCTTTACTAGGGTATTTTGGCTGTTGGCCTTTTGAATTTCCATATATATTTTAGAATAAGTTTGTTAACAGAACAAACAAATAAACAAAAATTTGTTTGGATTTTGATTGGCATTGTGTTGAATCTGTAGATCATAGATCTGTAGATCAGCTTGTGGAGAATGGACATTTTTACAATTATTGTGTTTTCCAGTCTATGAACATGGTATATTTTTCTATGTGGCTACATACTTAGATGTTTAATTTCTCTTAGTAATGTTTATATTGTGCATAGAAGTCTTGTACATATTTTCTTTGATGTGTTTCTAGGTATTTGATATTTTTTAGGAAATTATAAATATCACTTTTTAAAATTTCATTTTAAATGTTTTCATTATATAGAAATTCTATTGATTTTTATGTGTTTACCTTATATCTAATATAGAGCTCAGCAAACAGTTTTCTACTGAATCCTACTTGATGCTTGTTCTTGTGGGCTTGTGGGTTAAGGATGTTAATTACATGTATACGTATATGATTAATTTGATAGGAAACATGAACTTTCAACCTCAAATGAGTGGGATATTCTACAAATGAATTGCATCCTTTAAATCTCTTTTCTGTGAAATATTTTTATTAATAAAATATCTGTGGAATTGTGTTTTCTCTCTGGTCATGGAAGGACCTACATAATATCCTCAATTTTGCCTCCTGATCAGCAAAGCCTGAAACTTTTACTATCTGACTCTTTACAGTTTGCCCACCCCAATCTAACATCTTGCTGAACTTATGAATTCTAATTATTTCAAAATATTTTTGCCTGTAGATTATTTTGGATTTGCATGTACATAATGAGTCATAAGTGAGGAATGACCATTTTGTTTTTTCCTTTCCAATTCTTTCATGTTTGTTTTTACTCGTTGCATCTGAGTCCAGTATCAGGGTTGAGGGATTAAGATTTTTTTCTTAGTCTCCTAGATGACTAAAAGCTGGGCTGTATTCTCTATACATTTGATTTATTCTTAGGGTATGACTCTTCAGAGACCTAATGCTGGATACATAGTTTGTCTCCCTAACTTGTTGTAAGTGAGGTTTACCCTGTTGAGTTGGGCAAACACTCCCAGTGCAAGAATTAACTTTAATACAGAGCTGACTACTCTGGATTTCCATTTGCTTCCATATCTTGGCTTGGTTGTTCTTCACCCCATTATTAGTTCTTTGATACCTCAAGCAGATTGTTAAAAATGTTTTGACTGTTTTTTTCTATTTCCAAGCTGAGGAGTTGGTCTTAGTTACCTAGTCTGCCGTTACTGGAATGGAATTAGGAAATAAAGATTTGAACTTAGTTTGGTCTAACTCTCAAGGTCCATGCTCTTGACTACTATATTGCCTTGTGACTAAATCTAACACAGTAAACAATTTAAAGTGTAAAATTATGTTATGTTTATTTTTGACCTAAAAATGTTCATATTATTTATGCTTTTCAGGGTAGAAAATGTCAAGTCAAAATTTTAAGGCCTGTATTCTTTTTTTTTCTTTTTGCTCCGCAGTGAGGCAAATAAACAACATGTAAGATGTCAGAAATGCTTGGAATTTGGACATTGGACTTATGAATGTACAGGAAAAAGAAAATACCTACATAGGCCATCAAGAACAGCAGAACTAAAGAAAGCTTTAAAAGAAAAAGAAAACAGATTATTATTATTACAACAAAGGTATGTTGACCTGTGATAGCCAAAGGAATATTTTTAATTGACAGAATTTATTTTTTTTTTTTTAAGATTTCATTTATTTATTTGACAGACACAGATCACAGGTAGGCAGAGAGAGAGGGAGAAGCAGGCTCCCTGCTGAGCAAAGAGCCCTATGTGGGGCTCCATCCCAGGACCCCGAGATCATGACCTGAGCCGAAGGCAGAGGCTTTAACCCACTGAGCCACCCAGGCGCCCCAATTGATAGAATTTATGAAGTGACTAAAGGTATCTTGGTGGTTATCCAGATTTCAGTTATAATATTAGCTAATGTTTAATGAATCCTTCCCATGTGCCAGGCACTGTATTAATTAAGCTTTTCACAAGTATTAGCTTAGTTAAGCTTTACCTCTATACCATTAAGGTAGGTACTATTCTCCCCATATTACATGTGAAGAAACTAGGGCCTAGAGAAGTTGAGTTACTCATCAGTGTCACACAGCCAGTAAGTGGAAAGATTAAACTGTTGAACCAGCCAATCCATGCTCTTAATCACTTTGCTTTGTTGACTCAGCTGCTGGTGAAGTGGCAGCAGAATACCAGGAGATAGATGATATGAGCTGTCAACCATAAAGATAAAGTGGCCAGTTATTCTACCAGCAAAATGAGTTTATTGGGGAATACCAAGGGAATTGCAGTCCTGGACAAGAAAACTGGCAAACCATGGGCAAGTCCAGAGAACAAAGGACAGGGGCTTGCTTTTATCGAGGAAAAGAGGAAATTGGGAAGGGCTGTTTGAAACAAAAGTCAGCTGGGGGAGAGTGAGAGTTTAAGCTTCTTATTGGACAACTGGGGCAATTTCTCATGGGCTGTTGTATTGCAAGGCAAGAAGAAAATTTTCCTTCCTCCTGCTGAGATAGTAAAGTAAGCTTCTTCCTGTTGAGAACAAAGTGCTGCTCTCTGTGTGGGGGTCGGCTGCTGATGAGGAGTGTGTGCCAGCTCCCCATTCAGGGTTGCCCAAGTCCATTTTAGATGCTGTTGCCTTTATTTTCTCAGAGCTGATGTGGAAAGATATCCAAGACAAGTATCCAAGATACTTAAACTAAGGCTATAAACTACATGGAGAACAGTATATATAATATGCAATCGTTTATGTTAAAAAAGAAGAAAAGGAATAATGGAATTTTTTTGGAAACAGAAATGATCCGTAACAGTGGCTCCTTTCTAGGAGAACTGGATAGGAGAGTAACTGGAAATTTGTTATATACTCTTTTGTGTCCTTTGAATAAAGCGCCCCCCCCCTTTTTTTAAGATTTTATTTATTTGAGAGAGAGAGTGCACAAGCAGCGGGAGGGAGAAGCAGGCTTCCCACTGAGCAGGGACCCTGATGCGGGACTGGATCCCAGGACCCTGGGATTATGACCTGAGCTGAAGGCAGACGTTTAACTGACTGAGCCACTCAGCTGCCCCATAAATAAAGCTTTTTTTTTTTTTTTTAAAGATTTTATTTATTTATGTGAGAGAGAAAGAGATAGGGAGAGGGAGCAGGAGCTGGGAGGAGAGGGTGCAGAAGCAGGCACCCCACTGAAGAGGGATACCGTTGCGGGGCTTGATCCCAGGATCTCAGGACCATGACCTGAGCTGAAAGCAGATGCCTAACTGACTGAACCACCCAGGCGCCCCTTAAATAAAGCTTTTAAAATTGCTATGAATTAAGTAAGTAAGCATGTTTGAGAAAGTGAAAGAGGAAGATGCCAGATGTACTCAGTGCTCAGATCAGAAGCAGCATCTTCATAAGGACATTAGCTGTATAATAGTGTCTGAAACAAGGGAACTTGCAAGGCAGTGGTCTCACAATTAGTGGATATGATGGCTCTTCAGAGGTTATTCAGGAATAGATAGGTTATCAATTTCTAAGTCATCAACTTTCATATATAATTTTTCCAAAAATAAATTTGTATAAGAACTTGCCTGCTCATTCTCCTTTTCTACTTCCCCTTTTCTCCTGTATAGAAACCTAGATGTTTTTCAAAATACTGGTGTTTGTACTAAGAAAGTGGATAGCTCTAATTATTGGGAGCTATTTTTTTTAAGATTTTATTTATTTATTTGTCAGAGAGAGAGAGAGAGAGAGAACACACAAGTAGGGGAAGTGCAGACAGTGGGAGAAGTAGGCTCCCTGCTGACCAAGAAGTGTGACGCAGGACTCGATCGCAGAACCCTGAGATTATGACCTGAGCTGAAGGCAGACACTTAACTGACTGGGCCACCCAGGTGTTCCAGGAGCAAATTCTTCTTTTTTTTTTTTTTTCCTAAATATATTTTTTAAAGAGTGTATTTATTTATTTGACAGATAAGGATCACAAGTAAGCAGAGAGGCAGGCAGAGAGTGAGAGGGAAGCAGGCTCCCTGCTGAGCAGAGAGCCAGATGCAGGGCTCGATCTTAGGACCCCGAGATCCTGACCAGAGCCAAAGCCAGAGGCTTTAACCCACTGAGCCACCTAGGCGCCCCAGGAGCAAATTCTTTTGTAATTTTTTTTCCCCAGCAGAATTGAAAAAGGATCTAATTGGGCTACCAATTTAAAAGTATTTTTTAGGGACGACTGGGTGGCTCAGTCAGCCAAGAGTCTGGCTCTTGATTTCAGCTAAAGTCATGACCTGAGGGTCATGAGACCGAACCCTGCATTGGGCTCCATACTGGGTATAAAGCCTGCTTAAGATTCTTTCTCTCTGGGGCGCCTGGGTGCTCAGTGGGTTAAAGCCTCTGCCTTCGGCTTGGGTCATGATCCCAGGGTCCTGGGATTAAGCCCTGCATAGGACTTTTTGCTCCGCAGGGAGCCTGCTTCCTCCTCTCTCTCTGCCTGCTTGTGATCTCTGTCAAATAAATAAATAAATAAATAATCTTAAAAAAAAAAAAAAAAAGATTCTTTCTCTTCCTCTCCCCTCCCCCTCAAATAATAATAATAATTAAAAATAAAAATAAAAGTGTTTTTTAATCATATATCTTTGTGACTAGTGGACCCTGTCACTGAAGGTATTCAAACAATGACATTCCTACAACAAAACTCTATTTCAATCTACCTGTTTAGGTTAAGAAAGTTTCTTAGGTTAAATCTATAAAAATTGGGGCGCCTGGGTGGCTCAGTGGGTTAAAGCCTCTGCCTTCAGCTCAGGTCATGGTCTCAGGGTCCTGAGATCGAGCCCCACATCGGGCTCTCTGCTCAGCGGGGAGCCTGCTTCCTCCTCTCTCTCTGCCTGCCTCTCTGCCTACTTGTGATCTCTGTCTGTCAAATAAATAAATAAAATCTTAAAAAAAAAAATCTATAAAAATTAAGTACAGGAATTGAATTAATACTGAACCTTGTCACAACCTAGCAGTAAGATCCAGGGATACATAAACTAGAAAAACAATATCATTAAGAGATGTGTTACCAGTAAATTTACTTTGATTGTAATAATTATTAAAATTTGTACTGTATTTCTATACTGTTTTATTTTATTTTAAAGATTTTATTTATTTGTCAGAAAGGGTTGGGGGAGGGTGGGCACACACAAGCAGGGAGAATGGCAGGCAGAGGGAGTAGCAGGCTCCTTGCTGAGCAGGGAGCCCAGTGCGGGACTTGATCCCAGGTCCCTGGAATTGTGACCTGAGCCAAAGGCAGATGCTTAACTAAGCCATCTAGGTGTCCCTCTGTATTGTTTTAATCAATTGTATATTAATACTGGTAATGGTAACTCAGAAGGTTTTTTTAGAGACAGAGTTGGGGGTGCAGGTTATAACAAGAAGTGGTGGGCTCTGTACATGTCATGAAAGACAAAGTGTTTCTCCAATGTAAGACACTTTGGAGGCTCCTGAAGGGTTTGTCTGAGCTGTGTATAATCACTCTATTAACAGGAGTTTTTTCCCCCCTCATATTTATCAGCATTGGAGAAACTAATGTAGAAAGGAAGACTAAGAAAAAAAGGTATGTGTGGCTTTAGGAGTTTTTTATGTATAATAAATATACTAGTGGGAGGGATGGGAAGAAAAATTTAAAAATAAAAGTGATGATAATAATAATAAAGTAGACCTAAAGTCTCTTGTTTGTAATTCATGATTAAGTATCATCCTTATTTCCTGATATGTTCTTCTCTTTACCTAACTGGAACATACTACCTTCATTTCTCCTTTTTCCCCAACTTCTCAGAGGCTTTATACCTGGAAATAGTAAATAATTTCACTTAAAAATCTCTCTTATTACATTAGAATAAGAAATATTCTTAGACTGGTAAAAAAAAAAAAAAAATGTTGACCAGGTCTGTCTGGTTTAGAGTAAAGATTATGAAACATTTACCATGCTGCCTGAGGTTTCAGTAAACCCAGGTGTTACACTGCAACTTTATTCTAACATTATTCGCTCTGGAGCATAATAGAGTAGGAACACTGATCTTGAACTCTGTCCAGGAGAGTTTAATTGCTAAAGTAAAAGACGTTGGGTTTGCCGCGGGACTTCTCCAGTTATGCAATCCCCAGCACAGAAGATCCAGCGGTCCCACACAACAGAGCTGCAGTGTGTGCACGGAGTTTCCCTGTGCACTTGCTTTTAACTATTCTGTTAAACGTCAGCTTCCCGTGCATCTAACTACTCATTGTCTACTAGGTCTAAGAGTGTAACCAGTTCCAGTAGCAACAGCAGTGACAGTTCAGCCAGTGATTCTTCATCGGAGAGTGAAGAAACGTCTACCTCATCCTCCTCGGAGGACAGTGACACAGATGAAAGCTCCTCCAGTTCATCATCTTCATCCTCCTCCACAAGCTCTTCCTCGTCCTCCGATTCAGACTCAGATTCCAGCTCTTCCAGTAGCAGCAGCACCAACACAGAGAGCAGCTCTGAGGATGAGCCACCAAAGAAGAAGAAAAAGAAATAGAATTGCTCCATCCCTATTGGACTGCTGGTCTGCAAACATTAATGTGATTCTCGGAAGGGAATTTAGAATATGTTAAGGCCAAATAGATTAACCGGTCAACATTTCTGGAGTTTAAAAGTTTCTAAGTGTTTTACATCATAAGAGCATAAAGAGTATTAATAATGGATTATACATATATATAAGACTTTTTTATTTTCAGGGTAAATCTTGTTTTTCTTTTTTATCTTTAATATGTATCTGTAAAACTTAATCAAAGCTGAATCCAGTACATCTGTTTTTGGGATGAAACTTATCTTTTCTGGGGCGCCTGGGTGGCTCAGTGGTTAAAGCCTCTGCCTTCGGCTCAGGTCATGATCTCAGGGTCCTGGGATCGAGTCCCGCATCGGCCTCTCTGCTCGGCGGGGAGCCTGCCTCCTCCTCCTGTCTCTCTCTGCCTGCCTCTCTGCCTACTTGTGATCTGTCAAAAAAAAAAAGAAACTTATCTTTTCTCCCTGTGAAATAAATGCCATACTTTGTTATATGTCAGTGCTATGTATCAGATGTGTTTTCAGGATAATGCATCAGAATATCTGGCAGTGAATTTCTAACGCTTTTGGCTGTGTGTTATTATATAAGATTTAATACATTGTTACTATAAAATTAGGAGTGGTCCTCTTAATAACTGTGCCCTCTTTCTATGTTTATGTTCGGAAACTTATTCTGAGTTCTTGTCCTAAATGAAAAGCTCAAGGAAACTATTAATATATTTATACCTTTTGGATGGTACAAATGTCAAGTTATTGTGTTATATTATTCATTTTCTTCTGGTTCTTAGAGTTACTCTTTTTTTTTGTTTGTTTCCAAGTAGGCTCCACACCCAGCGTGGAGCCCAGTGCAGGGCTTGAACTCACAGTCCTGAGTCAAGATCTGTGCTGAGATCAAGAGTCGGATGCTTAATTGAATAAGGCACCCAGGTGTCCTGTAAAGTTACTCTTTTCTGAGCAAATCAATCTGGAGGAACCTAAAAAGAAGCCAAAATTCTGAAACTACTTGGAGTCTAATCTTGGTGCCTTTTGATAAATGCTGTGTATTAGAAAAGAGTCATTTGAAAGCCTAACTTAAGGTAAAAGTGATATAAATATCATTGTGTGTTATTATGCTATAAAAGATGGGAGAGGAAAAGAAGGTTAGGAAGAGAGGTAATTTTAACAGAAAATTAGGGTGATGTTGGTTGCCTTTTATTAAGCTTTTCTAAGCTTTCATAAGGATTGCCTTTTATCATTTTTGCAATCGTATTGATGGTTTACATGGCAACTGGTCATATCTGACACTCTACTACATAAATATGAATGACTTGGATTAATCTGGTGTGTTTACATACCATATACACAGTTGAAATGTAGCATGTAAGATTAAAGAGAAATACTGCACAATGTTTCTTAAAAGTAAAATACTCTGCTGTGGTGAAATTACTTAGTTTCGCATGACATCATTCTGTGATGTCTTTTAAGCTTTTTGGAAAGAGGTATCATTTGTAGAAAAATCCTGATTTGGGCTAAATATGGGTTTTTAAAAATATGAATGTTGTCCTTTTTTTATATTTTTATGAGAAAGTAGTAGAAAATTGCTTTTGAAAATGGGCTTCTATTTAAATGTTGAAATATATGTAATAAACATTCCAAGTTTAAGGAGACTGTAATTCCTTGTATGTTTTTTAAAACCATCTCCTTTCAATGATTGTAAATAAATTCTCAAAACATCATTTCAGAGACTCTATACAGAATATATCAATTGACAGGTAAATTTAATAATTAATTAGACACATGTTACAATGTTGGTCATCTCCATGAGGATATTTTTAGCAGTAAAAAAAAAATGTGGAGGGAGGGTATGTGCTATGGTGAGTGCAGTGAAGTGTGTAAACCTGGCGATTCACAGACCTGTACCCCTGGGGAAAAAAATATATGTTTATAAAAAATAAAATTTAAAAAAGTAAAAAAAAAAATGTGGAACAGAAAAGTGTACATAGACTGCAACACCTGGCAATTAAATAAAACTCATCATTTGTGCTAACAGGCTTAAGCATCTATTATCTCTTTGCTGTCTTTTTTTTTTTTTAATATATTTTTTTAAGATTTTATTTATTTATTTGACAGACAGAGATTACAAGTAGGCAGAGAGGCAGGCAGAGAGAGAGGAGGAAGCAGGCTCCCTGCTGAGCAGAGAGCCCAATGTGAGGCTTGATCCCAGGACTCTAAGATCATGACCTGAGCTGAAGGCAGAGGCCTTAACCCACTGAGCCACCCAGGTGCCCCATCTCTTTGCTGTCTTAAGATGAGCTCTTATTCCTTTTGAGGGTAAGGACATTTAAGCAAATTCTAATTATTTTTACTATTCTCTTATAAGGTATCCCTGGAGAAGTGCAGGAAGTAGGAATCCTATTCTTTTTTAGTCACACAGTTTAGTTATAACAGAATCAATAGCAAAGAAGAGTCTAACTTCCACAGAGTTTTTCCCTATCCTGCCAAAGCAAAAATGTGAAAGTTGAGTTCCTGACAAATATATTAAATGTCTTTTTTCTCAACCACAACCATATCAAGGAAAGTCCTTAGATCATAGGTTTTCATTCCAAAACATTTCATTAGTATGTTGTCCTGGAATTAAAATATGGTTATAGGCCACACATTAGCCCTGGTAGTAGAGAAAAAGTACAAAGAAGGTATACTTCATGGTGCTATTTATTCTTTTAACTTTCTATTTTGAACTGGTTTGCAGAAACATTGCAAAAATATTACTTTTCCATATATACCTCAACCAGCTTCCCTTTATGTTAGCATCTTCCATAAACATAGTTCACCAGCTTCCCCATTATTGTCCTTTTTCTGTTCCAGAATATCACCCAGAAAATACAGTTACTTGAGGGTCTACTACTGTCAATAACAGTTCTTTAGTCTTTCCTTATCGTTCATGCCCTTATCGCTTTGAAAGACTGTTAATCAGTTGTTTTGTCTGATGTCCCTCAATTTGGGTTTATGTGGTGTTTTTTTGTGATTGAACTGATACTTTCTGGAAGGATAGGACAACAATGAAGCTGTGTCCTCCATCCACCCTATCACAAGATTCCTAATGTCAATATGTCTTATATATTAGTTGTTATGTTGACATTGATTACTTGCTTAAGATGGTTTCTGTCCCATTTCTCTACGTTAAAGTTCCTTTTTTACTTAATAGATACTTTGGGGGAGATGCTTTGAGACTATGCAAATTTTTCCTGCATACTCACCCACCAGTTTTAGTGGGTCTTGTCTCCAGTTGTTACTGTGATGTTTTGCAAGTAGTGATTTTCTATTTCCCTCTCTCCTTCTACATTAATTGGAATCCTATAAGATAAAGCTGTGTCTTCTCCCCCAATTTTAGAAAATTTTGTTTATTTATTTTTTAAAGATTTTATTAATTTGAGGGGCGCCTGGGTGGCTTTGTTGGTTAGGGGTCTGCCTTCGGCTCGGGTCATGATCCCAGGGTCCTGGGATCGAATCTCATGTCGGGTTCCTTGCTCAACAGGGAACCTGCTTCTCCCTCTCCCTCTTCCCCTACCCCTGCTTGTGCTCTCTGTCTTTCTCAGATAAATAAATAAATAAATGGATAGATAAATAAATAAATAATTTTATTAATTTGAGAGAAAGAGTACACGTGCTAGAGAGAGCATGAGGCGGGGGTTGGGGAGAGGGGGAGCCGGGTCAGAGGGAGAGGGGAAAGCAGATTCCCTGCTGAGCAGGGAACCCAATGTGGGGTTCCATCCCAGGACACTGGGATCATGATCTGAGCTGAAGACATACACTTAACCAACTGAGCCACCCAAGCACCCCTCTTCTCCCTCATTTTTTAATCTTAATTTGTTGAAGATGGAATTGGCTTTACTTTATTGTATTTTTTTTTAAGATTTTATTTATTTATTTGACAGAGAGAGACACAGCAAGAGAAGGAACACAAGAAGAGGGAGTGGTCTCGAGAGGGAGAAGCAGGTTTCCCACTGAGCAGAGAGCCAGATGCAGCCTCCATCCCAGGATCCTGAGATCATGACCTTAGCTGAATGAAGGCAGACAATCAACTGAGTCACCCAGGTGCTCCACCACTGTTTCTTTTGTTGTTCAAATTGTTCTACCTTTAGTTATGAGGAAAGCACCTTCAGGATGACTCCTTTATTCTTTTTTTTCTTTTCTTTTTTTTTTTTTAAAGATTTTATTTATTTATTTGACAGAGATCACAAGTAGGCAGAGAGGCAGGCAGAGAGAGAGGAGGAAGCAGGCTCCCTGCTGGGCAGAGAGCCCGATGTGGGGCTCCATCCCAGGACCCTGATACCATGACCGAGCTGAAGGCAGAGGCTTTGACCCACTGAGCCACCCAGGTGCCCCACTCCTTTATTCTTTAAACAAATCCTCATCAGTTTTCTTTTGTTTGTTTTCAGTATTTGTTTGTTTGTCTTTAGTATTAAATAAAGGAGGCTCCTATGCAGCTTGGTTGGTTAAGTGCCTGCATTCAGCTCAGATCATGATCTAAAGATCTTGGAATCAAACCCTGCTTTGGGCTCCCTCCTCAGTGATGAGCCTGCTTCACCCTTTCCCTCTGCTGCTCCCCCTGATTGTTCTCTCTCTCTCGTGTCAAATAAATAAATAAAATCTTTAAAATAAATAAATAAAAGATGGTTTCTTTTAATTTATTTGACAGAGAGAGATCACAAGTAGACAGAGAGGCAGGCAGAGAGAGAGAGAGAGAGAGGGAAGCAGGCTCCCCGCTGAGCAGAGAGTCCGACACGGGACTCGATCCCAGGACCCCGAGATCACGACCCGAGCCGAAGGCAGCGGCTCAACCCACTGAGCCACCCAGGCGCCCTAATATATTTTTTCTATTTAGATTTTCTATTTCTTTTATTATATATTTTCTGTTATTACTAGGTATATCCATAATAAAATCTAGGATCACAAAGCACATAAACCAATGTCATCAGATATTTGCACAATCCCAGGTGCCTGGGTGGCTCAGTCCTTAAGCATCTGTCTTTGGCTCAGGTCCTGATCTCAGGGTCCCAGGATCAAACCCCGCA